ACAGAAACTTAATAGTTCACTACGCAAGAGATTGGTATATAAATTGGGACCAACGGTGAAGAGTTGCAGAGAGAAAGAGAGGGGATAAGGGAGGACGGCAAAACCCTAACCCGAGAAGAAGGAGAAGCGAAGGGATAGGGAAGAAGAAGATAGGATTTGGAAGGCTATTTTATGTGGTGACTGGCGGAATATTCTAGAATGATGTCCGAGTTACCGTCAGATTATTGGAGGCCCGAATATGTCTTGATTTATAGCCGTCGGATTGCAATATGTGGGCGGCGAAAAAACCAATACGGCTGAAAGAACGCGACTATGTGAAGAAAATTTTTTTTACTTTATAAAAAACATATGAGAAATTTTGCGATTGGATGGGGCTGTTGAGCTTATTTTATGAAAGAATTACAATAAAACCCTCAAAAAAATTTAATTATCTTAAAATCTATTATGAAAAATAAATAATTACAAGTTTTAGAGTAACAACGGTTTCATATTAGTCACTTGTCCTTATAAATTTTGGGTAATTAAATTTTTTCTATAAAACCTCTTGATAATGTCCCTTATTTCTAATTAATTAATTAATTAATGAGATAACATATCAAGAAGATTTATCAATTATCAATTATTAATCAATGATAAATTAAAAAAATAAAGGTTTTATTATATCAAATAATGTAAATAATTTGTTTTCTATTTTTTTCATTTAATTTTTCTTTGTTTGTTATATCACCACTTAATTTAATCATACCTTTTTTTAAAAAAACTATTCTGGGGATCTTATTCTGTTTTAAATGTTCGTTTTCTAATTTGATTTTTCTCTCTTAAAATATAAATAATAACCTTATTATTACACTACCTCCGATCTTAATTATAAGAACCAGTTGACGAATTTGAGGAGATTAAAGAAGTAAGTTGAGTTAGTTATTTGTCCTAAATAGGCATTGTCTTTTCTAAAATATCCTTACTAATCAAGTGTATTGACTAGAACTATCATTGTTAGAAGGGCTATTTTGAAAAGAAAAAATGTATAAATATAAGAGACAAAGTGGATTGGAATCTTATATTTAGAATCAGAATAAAAATCAAATAAGGTCTTATATTAAGAATCGGAGGTAGTACTTTTCATTTAGGTTATTGGAGGCCAAAATCTGTTTGGCATTATGGCTGTTTGATTGCAACAAGTGGCTCGCGGCTGTAAAAAAAAAAAAAATGTAACTCAATGAATGGGGTGTGACCATATGGAAGAAATCATGTATAGTAATATCCTTCTTTTTGAGTTTATAAGAAAGATACGTATAGCTCAATGAACTTAATCACTTTTCACTTCACATAAATGGTTGGGTTTTGTTGATAAAAAAACGAAAACTATATCCTCATTTTCCACTACTTATGATTTAGGATATTAATATTTAATATTTAATATTTCAGCTTTAATATATACTTGCAAAATGCAATAATGTTTTAAGAATTGAGTACGAAATGATTTTTAAAATTATAGTTACTCATAATTTGATCTTGTGATTAAAAATTATTATTATTATTATGCAAACATGCCTAATAATATTAACACATGGTGGTTCGGAGGGATGACCCGTGGGATGTTATAAAATGATCTTCGATTCACCATTAATTTATTGGAGGTCATAATTTGTGTTGATTTATGGCTTTCGGATTGCAACATATGGGTGGCAGATGATGAAAACTAATGCAGCTAGACAGATGCCACGGAGAAAATTCTATTTTTCAGGTTTTAATTTGTGTTCTTGTCTTTTACGTAATAAGACCATTGGTCATTAGACCATCCTTATTTAATTAATTTTAATTAAAAAAACACAAAAGAGAGATTTGAGAATAGTTCATAAATGCAGAAAGAGAATCTGAATAAAGATTAATTTAAAAAAATCTTATTTATTTAATGTATTTTTTAGTATGTAAGAATGAGTTGCAAGTAATCTATAATAAGAATGGGAAAGTAGTATAGTCAAATCTTTTTATTTCAGTTTAAGAAAAATATGTATAATTTAAAATGTAAGATATTTTGTGGATCATATGGCGTTGTTAATGTTGTTTCATTTAAATTATTACTTCTACTAATTAATACTTGAGATTAAATATTAAGGAAGTTGATTGTAATTAACAAATGATACATTTATAAACTTAGCATCAAAATATTAAATGATAAAAACAAAAATCAAATTTCAAGACTCAAAAGTGTATATTTGGCTAGGTTTCATTTCATAACTAGACTGTGCGATGCACAGGATGGTACATATTAAAATAACTGATATTGCTGAAAAACATTTTACTATATTCTTCCCCCCTTCAATCTATTGCAAAGAAAATTTATCTTTTGTTATTTACTCCCTCCAATTCAAAATATAATATAAACTTTATCCTTATATTTACCAAGAAATTAGTTAAAATCAGTTTAAAATAATAAATATGTAAGACATTTCCCCTTCCAAATATGCCATTACTAATAAAGAGAATAAGTAAAAGATGCAATAAATGATCAAAGAAGAAAAAGAATATGTAGGAGTAAAATCGGAAAAACTTATTAAATGTTTAGACAAAAGTAACGATTATCTTATAAAAAAAATTAAACCCTTCTAACAAAGTTTAGGTTATATTTTGAACCAAAAGGAGTATTTTTGAAAATATTATTTTTCTTATATATGAATTAGACAATAAAATATAAGATTGAAGCATTTAATGTTGACAATTTTACTACAATGCTGATTTCACATGAAAAGTGTATATTTGGTCAGGTTTCATTTCATAATGTATCTTTTTTAATTTTATAACTCTACTATCGTTAATTTCATTTAAAAAAGAAGAAAAAATCACAAAAAACCTTAAAAATTAAAAAAAAAAAAAGCATATAGGGACCTGTTCACAAAAATTGTTACTATTTGCTTATCAATTGTTGTCAAACCCCATCCTAATATTGTCATGAGTACCTATTTACAATCTTTTTTATTTTTAAGATCTTTTTTGTGCTTTTTCCCAAAAAAAAAAAACCGCGAAGCTGAACCAAAATTAAAGAAATGGGATATAGGAAATTATATACTAATATATTTCTGTTTCATTTTACGAGGAAGATATGTTACTTTAAAATATAAGATGTTTTGGTGATTACATGGAGTTGTTAAAGTTGTTTCATTTAAAATACTTCTATTAATTAATTAATAATTGAGATTAGATAATAAGAAGGTGCATTATAATTAACTAATAACAAATTTTAAAGTTTTATGATATCAAATAATATAAAATATAGTTAATTTTAATGATCTTCGTTAAATTATTCGAGGCTAGAAGCTATCTTGATTTCTGACGGCTGATAGAAGGGGCAAAAAAAGAGAAATCATATGGTACTCCTCCGGTCCTAAATGTAAGACCCTTATACACACTAGTATAAGGGTCTTACATTTAGGACCGGAGGAGTAATATGTAATATTTCTGTTTCAATTTATAAGGAATATAAGTATAGTTTAAAAAATATATTTTGCGGATTACATGAGTTGTTAAAGTTGTTTCATCTAACATACTTTAGGTAAAAGAAAATCTAACATACTTCTCCTGATTAATTAATAATTACTATCTCCGGTCCTAATTATAAGAGTTAGTTGATTAGTTTGACGAGATTAAAAAAAGTTAAGTTAGTTATTTATAATAAATAGGTATTGTCTTTTCTAAAATATCCTTACTAATTAAATGTGTTGGCTAGAACTATCATTGTTAGAAGGACTATCTTGAAAAAAATACATAAATATGAGAGACAAAATAGATTAGGCTTTTATATTTAGGATTAAAATAAAGTCAAATAAGATTTTATATTAAAGACTGGAGGTAGTAATAATTGCGATTAGATAGTAACAAGGTCTATTGTAATTAGTTAGCGATAGAAATTTAAAAAATAATGTTCTTATGATATCAAATAAAATAAATAATTTGTTTTATGGTGAATTAGTTAAAATTGCTTTATAATATAACTCAGAAATAATAATATTCTTTATTTAATTTGCTTTTTATATAATTTTTCCTTGTTTGTTTTATTCCCCGTAAAAATTAATTATATATATTTTTTCACAGCGAAACCTCATTCTCTTTTAATAATAAATCAATGCGCATTGCAAATAGACCGAACACCTGAATGATTCTCGTGGATATGACATTATTAATAAAAAATCATTTCATTTTTATACAAACCTCTAATTTATTCAAATAAATTTCACGTTTATAACGTTAAACAACATATTGCTAGTATTAAACTAAGATGAGCCCAGTATCTCAAAATATTTTTTAAAGTACATCCAATATTTTAAAATTCTAAAATTTCTTATAGGGCAATTTCAACTGTAAACTAATTTTTATAATGCAATTTCATCCAATCCTAACATAATTTTAACTTTGATTTTTAAAATATTAATTAGGCAAACCTTTAAACACAAATTAGGGAGAATTACAATGAGATCCGAAATAAGGAAAACAATTGAAAAACAAGTCCTAGAGATTGTAATTCTCACTATAGGACTTGTTATTATAGGTTATTGAGGTTGTTATTGGAACTTTTTTATAATTATTTTTCTTATGTGAAACTTGATTGTAATTTTCCTCAAAAATTATTCAGGTGGTATCATGGAGGAATGACAACCAGACACAACAACAATCTTCCACGTCGCTGTTATCTACCTCGCTCTCATTCTCGGCTTCATCCTTCTCTTTCTTCGCTTCCCGTAAGCCAATGAAGCCCAAGATCACCATGAGGGTTCCTCTTCCTACTCAGATGCCGCCTAATAATTGTTTTTTTCCTGTCAAAAGTTTGTCTAATCAGTATTATAGAAGTTAAGTTCAACTTCAGTTATGTTAGGCAGGATGGATTGCACCCAAAAAATTAGTTCAGCATTGAAGTTGCACCATAAAACTTTAGGACGTGCACTCAGGAAAACGGGTGTTGGGTGTATCTTACCCTTAGATTATTTAAAAGTTATTATTTACAAGTATTGTAGAATGAGTGACAGCTTTTATTATCTTAACGAACCACCTGATATTCATCCATACAAATCACATCTACGCATCTCCGCAGTGGAGGAATATATATTGCTGGCATTGTGGGTAAGCAAGCAATTAGATCTATCTCTAACATGAATGTTTATGATTAGCTTGATCTCCAGAGAGTTTCTCAATGACTTTGTCAATGGTGTTTTATTTGTTTGCAGCAGCTTGATTCTGCGGAAGGGCTTTCCAACCAATATCTTGGCGGTAGAAGCCTTGAGGCCAATGAATCTGCTCAAGAGCTCGGTAAGCTCGATCACGGGCCTGTTGGAGATCAATTCCTTTGGCAGTGACACCGAGCACACGACCACCGTTAGCGATAAATCTGCCCTCTAGATCATAGGCAGTTCCAGCATGAAAGATTTTAACCTGAGGATCAACGACATCAGCTTCTTCGAGGTTTTGAATCAGGGTTCCTTTCTCATAGGGTCCTGGATACCCCTTGCTTGCCATTACCACAACCATGGCAGATTCTGCAGACCAGTTCAATGATACCCCCTTCAGCTCTCCTCTGCTAGCTGCAAGCAGAACTCGTGCTAAATCAGACTCCAACCTCGCCATCAGAACCTGTTCAAAAGAAGCGGTCAAAGAAAACTCAGTTAACAAAATGACTTCATGAATGAAATCAATCATCTTTAAATAAAGTCTGAGGTTCAAGTTTTCTAAATTAAAAAAAAAAATCACACTAGAAAAACTATCTCTTTTTAGGAACCAACAATGCTCAAATCTAAGTTGGAATTACTAGATATCAGGTTGTTTTTACCCCTAATAAATGACTTCTTTATGATGGAGTAATGCCAAAAAAAGTGCCAAATGACTGTGCCTCTTGTATCACCTCATATAAGATCAAGCAAGATACCAATGAACTGAAGAACATTAGAAAAAACGAGTTTTGGAAGCATGTGATCAAGATGAAAACATGAGTATCAAAGGTGGACAGCGGTACCAATTTGTTAGAAACTACATGAGGAGTTTTATAGTTGTATAACATGAGCACGATGAACCATGAACACCCTAAATTATCAGTTAAGCATCCATGAAATTAGTTTGCCATGATTTGTAAATGGCCTGTATAGTATATATATTTCTAAGTGTTGAGATTGTGATAAAAAGAAAATGAATTTGCTGCAATCAAGTATGAGTTAACTAACCTGGCACTCTGGGTCGCCAAAGCGCACATTATATTCTATTAGCTTAGGCAAGCCAGACTTCTTTTCTATCATAAGCCCGGCATACAAAACCCCAACAAACTTGCAACCTTCTGCTGCCATTCCTTTCACAGTGGGCATAATAATAGAATCCATTACTATAGACTCAAGTTCTTTAGTTAGTATAGGGGCTGGAGAGTATGCGCCCATGCCACCAGTATTAGGTCCAGTGTCGCCATCACCGACTCGTTTATGGTCTTGAGCAGATTCCAATGGGATTGCATTTTCACCATCAACCAATGCAAAAAATGAAACCTCTTCTCCTTCTAGAAATTCCTCAATAATGACACGAGAACCGGCAGAACCAAAAGTACCCTTCACCATCATTAAATCAACAGCTTCATACGCTTCTTCCAGTGTCATGGCAACTGTAACTCCTTTTCCAGCAGCCAGTCCATCTGCTTTGACAACAACGGGTGCTCCTTGCTCTTGAATATATTGCTTTGCAGCAGAGGGGTCCGTAAATGTCTTGTACTGCATCAAGCCATTATTCAGCATTAGTTAAAAGTGACAAGTTTCTTCAACATGGCATACAACAACAACAACGAGTCTTATCCTACTAGATCGGTCAGCTACATAGATGGCACAACGCTATTGTGTTCTATCAATAACCAATTAGATAAATTGTTAATAAAAAGATCTCACTTAATAATTTCGTTGAATGTTCTCTTTGGTCTTACTCTACCCTTTTCAAAAGACTCCATACAACTTGATCTACCTCAATGGTGCATCTAATAGGATGTAAAACAAGGTTGAAAATATATCAAATAGGACAAGGGCTGAATGTCATGCATGTTTAGTCCAAAGAGAAAAAGTGCAGAAGAAGGACTAGTTATCAATCTAATTGATGAGATTCTGAATGACCACACAGACCTTGGCAGTTGGAATTTTATACTTGTCACACAAATACTTCATGAAATTCTTTGAACCTTCCAAAGCAGCAGCCTCAGAGGATGGGCCAAAAGTTGGGATTCCTGCCTTAACCAAATCGTTTACAAGACCCGAAACAAGGGGAGCTTCTGGGCCTAAACAATTAGTCCTACACCCCATTCACGACAGAATGAGACTACGGCTGCTCCATCTGAAACATCAAGGTCTGAGATAAAGTTGCACTCCCTGAATTGGAAATTCCTGCGT